TCCCCTGATGCCCCCCCCCCCTTCCGCCGCTCAACTCTCCCCGCCCCCCCGTGATTCATCTAGCAACTGCACTTATGGGAGTTTTGACTTATGGGAGGAAAATGTGGCCAAATTATTTTTTTTTAAAGCAATTTGTTGTCATCAGTAATTAGTTATATTTAAATGTTCCCACAGCTAGATTCACAAAGGGATTTTGGACTGGCTGCACAAAGGGACTGAGGGATTGCGATGCTGAGTAAGGATGTTAAATATCGAGTAATTTACTAGTCGAGTAGTCGATGGAATTTCCATCGACTACTTGACTAGTTGATAGGCACGTCTGCATTCCTCCTTTGAAATGTACAAGAGGAGGGGGCTCTTGTACATTTCAAAGGGGGAATACAGAACTCCAGCTGGAAGTTTATGTGTATTTCAAAGAGGAAGAGCCTACATGGAGCCTGGGGCCAGCGGGGGACTTAGTGTCGCCTGCTGACCCTGGGCTCCATGCTGCACTGCTGCTTTGAAATGCTACGCAAAGCCCGCTCTGCATGGCATTTCCCCAGAACCCAGGGTCAGCTGGGAACTCCTCAGCTGACCCCAGGCTCTGCATGATTTGAAATGCTGGAACCCAGGATCAGCTGGGGAGTCCCTAGCTGCATTTCAAAAGGGCAGCACCGCATAGAGCCTGCAATCATCTTCCTTCTCTTTGCTGCCTCTATCTCCTCTTTGCTGCCTCTATCTGATAGTGGCAGCAGGGGGGAGGGGAATCTACTAGTGAACTAGTCGACTAGCCCTTAACATTCTTAATGCTGAGTATTGCAACACCTTGGCTGTGTCTCCATTGGCATCCCTTTCCGGAAAAGGGATGCTAATGAGACACTTCGGAATTGCAAATGCCGCAGGGGATTTAAATATCCCCCACGGCATTTGCATGAACATGGCTGCTGCTTTTTTCCGGCTCAGGGTTTGCCGGAGAAAAGCGCCAGTCTAGACGGGATCTTGCGGAAAATAAGCCCTTGAAAGTAGGAATAAGGGATCTTCAGGAAAAGGGCTTATTTTCCACAAGATCCTGTCTAGACTGGCGCTTTTCTCCGGCAAAACCCCGAGCCGGAAAAAAGCGGCAGCCATGTTCATGCAAATGCCGTGGGGGATATTTAAATCCCCTGCGGCATTTGCAATTCCGAAGTGTCTCATTAGCATCCCTTTTCCGGAAAGGGGTGCTAATGTAGACACAGCCCTTATGTTTATGTGCCTAGGAAATCACAGGAACAGCATGCAATACACAATGCCTGAGTTAGGTACCTAGGTTCCTATCTATACAGAAGGGGAGAGAATGCACTTTAGACAGCAATCCACAAAAGCCAGCATTCTAGGCTGGGCATCTCCTAAACACCAATGGGTGATGTGACAATAGAGGTGCATCCTTAGCTTCTCTCATGAAGTTAGGCATATAAATCCATAAATCCACAAACAGGATTATTATGAAACTGTTATACTCATTAGTTCTATCTTCTAATGTTAAGCAGCATGTTGTGTCATATAGTTTCTACACTTATTTTTTCGGTTTCTGAAAAGATACAGGAAAGGAACTAATGAACATCCATCCCACATGTCTGAAAATGAATCAACTATCAGGAAGGAAAAGGAGGAAGATGAAGTCACAGCTGACCTAAATACTGACAGACTGTACAAAATTCCTCAAGAGGTTTCTGAAAGCAATGCTAGGAAAGATTCATTACAATCAACAGAGAATCTTGAAATAGCTGGAAAATCATCGACAAGGTCTCTTGAAAAGAAAGATGAACTCCTAGTTGGCCTAAATACTGAAGGACTGAATGAAATTCCACATGAAGTTACTGAAGGAGACACTAGTAAAGATATTTTACAATCATTGGAGAGTCCTCAAAAGATTGAAGAATTACCTACGAGTAAGTCACATGAAAAAGAAGATGATGAAAACACAGCTGATCATATGGATGATGAAATGATGGAACTCCC